TATATATATATATATATTACGAACATCACAGCACAAGAACAACGCATGTGCGAGGATTCAATTCCGAACCGCAACACAAGTTGGAACATTGTGGTTTAAACAATGATGGCAGAATATGAACTAACAGCACAGCGTGAGAACAACAGGAACCTATCAATGACGGAACCTACCAGAATGTTCCGCTCTGCACGCTCTGGGCGAGGGTCAAAGCCTTGTTGATGTCCTTCGTGAACACCGCTCCGGCGAGCCCGTACGTCGTGTTGTTCGCTCGTTTGATCACCTCGTCGATCGAATTGAACTTGATGATCTGCTGCACGGGTCCGAAGATCTGCAAGCACCAGGTGGCGCCACGTTAGTTTAGCAAGCGATGCAACGCCGCGCTATTCGTGTTTTTACGAGACGTAAACAAACAACAAAATTATAGAGCAACAAAATTATGTTGCGTTTTGGAGCGTTCTCATTCAATTAATAGCAGTTGTAGCCGTTATACAATGAAACCCGTGTGTAGACCCACACGTCCCGTCACCGCTAACGCACCTCCTCCTTCGCAATCCTCATGTCGTCTGTCACGTTGGAGAAGACAGTGCTCTGGATGAAGTAGCCCTTGTTGCCGTGGCGACCGCCTCCACACTCCATCTTCGCTCCCTGCTTCTTGCCGCTCTCGATCAGTTCCAGCACCTTATCGAACTGAGCTCTGTTGATCTAAACAAAGGAGAGGAACATACGTTCTTACATACAACATCAGTATCATACATGTATACACGCTCGATCATAAGCTGCTGGCCCCTGCTTTTATGCCACGTTTCCTCTTCTAAGGACCCAGTACATTTAAGTTTTTTTCTGTTTCCAGTATTCCTTATTAAAATTCTCTTCTTTCCTCTGCGGTTAATGGTAAAAAAGAAATGAAATGGAGTAGAACCATATAAAATTTATATGATTATCACTGTGATCATAGCGCTCCCAGGTGCTCCACCTGTGATTGCAATATCCCGTAATCGCAGCGCCCCTACCTGTGGACCGTTTTCGACGTCGCCGCAAAAGGGGTCGCCTATGGAGCGTTTCTTCGCGAGATCGACGCTGCGCCGTACAAACTCGTCGTATATGCCGTCCTGCACGTATGTGCGTGAGGCAGCCGTGCAGCACTGACCCATGTTGGCGAACAGGTTCTTGTGTGACACCAGCACCGCCTCATCGACTGCAACGATTCACAACGATGATCACACGATCAGGCACCAATTACACACACACAAGGGGGCGCCGCCGTGCAGCACTGATCCATGTTGAAGAACGAGAGGCCAGCAGTGACAACAACCTTACTACTGATTTATGATAAACGGAACCTGGAGTCCAATGCCAGAAACAATGTTAATAATTGTGACATCGTTAACTTAAAACTTGACTGCTATTGCATGACACTTAACTCCAAAAGTTATGACATTGCAAACTTGACTGATATCATACATATTTATATTTCTGACAGTGGACAAGTATTAACCAATGCTGCAAAATCCCTGATGTGATAGGAGTGTATGGGTCTGTTTGGGTTTCGAGGTCTAGCTAACACTCACGGTCGGCGTCAGCAAACACGATGGTCGGACTCTTGCCTCCCAGCTCCAGCGAAACTCTCTTCAGGTTCGTCTTTCCCGAGGCGCACTGGATCTGCTTCCCCACCTGCAAATAGACACACAGGAGGTCACCATTTTTGTCATCGTCTTTCTCATCATCACTTTTGATTTCTTGCCTTGAACTCACCTTGGTCGACCGTTACCCATCTTATGAACTCACCTGGGTCGACCCTTCAATAATTCACCTCCGTCGAACCCCCCTCTTGTGAACTCACCTCGGTCGCCTCCCGGTAACTCACTTCAATCGAGCCTGTGAACTCACCTTGGACGATCCCTACCCCTCTAATAAACTCACCCCAGTTGAGCCCGTGAACGAGATCTTGTTGACGTCCATGTGTTCGGTGAGGGCGGAACCAGCGGTCAGTCCGTACCCCGGCACCACATTGACCACGCCCGCAGGGATGCCCGCCTGCAATATACACGGTGGTGGTGGTGGTGACAGACAATGTAACAATCCAGCACCCGCACACGTGCGAGAGAACCCCGTCCTACCATCACTACGCCATAAATAAATGCCTGATCGTCGAATAGATATGTCCCATTGTCGAATAGATGTGTGATTGTTGGATAGATACATAATTGTTGAATAGATGTGTGATTGTTGAATAGATGTGTGATTGTTGAATAGATGCATGATTGTTGAATAGAAATGTGATTTGTTGAATAGATACGTGATTGTTGAACAGATACATGATTGTTGAAAAGATGCACGATTGTTGAATAGATGCGTGATTGTTGAATAGATGCATGATTGTTGAATAGATACATGATTGTTGAAGAGATACGTGATTGTTCAATAGATACGTGATTGTCGAATAGATGTGTGATTATTGAATAGATGCGTGATTGTTGAATAGATACGTGATTGTTGAATAGATACATGATTGTTGAAGAGATACGTAATTGTTGAATAGATACGTGATTATCGAATAGATGCACGATTGTTGAATAGATGTGTGATTGTTGAATAGATGTGTGATTGTTGAATAGATGCGTGATTGTCGAATAAATGTGTGATTGTTGAATAGGTCTGTGTGATTATTGAATAGATGCGTGATTGTTGAATAGATGTGTGATTGTCGAATAGATGCGTAATAACACATCACGTCCGATCATCAAACTGGCAACTGTGTGCAGAAACAAGCGAGCATGCACGGGTTCGTACCTCCTTGCACAGCGCGGCGATGTAAAGCGTGGTGAGAGGCGTCTGCTCGGCTGGCTTCAAAACAACTGTGCATCCGGCGGCGAGAGCAGGAACGATCTTGTGGCAAGCGAACATGCCAGGAAAGTTCCACTGCAAGTAGAGACAAGTAGACACTAGCGACATCTGGCATGACTAACACACACTACAACAGTGAAAAATTGTACGTAATTCGCCCCTCTTGCTAGTTTTCAATAATTATTTTTCAGGGGACATAAAATAGAACGGCATGCGGTTTTTGGAACGGACAGAATACATCTTAGTATTGTAGTACTGTACGCTGGCGCCACCTACGACGTTCCATCGTTGACATACTAAGTTATCTAACAGCGGTTTGCTGACATGGTGAAATAGATTTCTTACAGCAATCGCATCTGCAGCACGTGTAATGTAAATTGTAACATGAACCAATGATCAGTCTATCAACATGACCGCGATAACCATATCCATAAACTTTTACAGGCTTGGGAAGCTATGACCTTGCACGCATATATACACAGGTACTCACAGGTGTGATTGCTCCAACGACCCCTATGGGCTCAACACGAGTGAAGCAGAAGAAATCACCCTCTGTAATACAGATAGATCGAGGTTGTAATGAAATACACACACGCATGGAAGGATGGATGGATGGATGGATGGACGGACGGACGGATGGATAGATGGGTGAATAAATGGGCAAACAGATGGACGAACAGATGGATGGATGGATGGATGAATAGATGGATGGATGGATTGATGGATGGATATATAGATGGATGGATATATAGATGAATAGATGGATTGACGGATGTATGGATTGATGGATGGATGGATGGATGGGTGAATAAATGGACAAACAGATGGACGGATGGATGGATGAATAGACGGATGGATGGATTGATGGATGGATATATAGATGGATGGATGGATTGATGGATGTATGGATTGATGGATGAATGGATAGATGGATGGATGGCTAGATGAATAGAATAAATCAGTTAGTGAAATCATCCCTACACAAGCACTTACCTATGGGAATGGTCTTGCCCACGATCTTATCTGGCCATCCTGCATAGTATCTGCAGGTACCGACAGCTCTAGCATAATCAATATTGTATGAATATTTGTACGGCTTTCCATTGTCCAGGGTCTCTAGTGACTGTAAACATTCAAGTGCATACCAACATGACAAAATTAGCATGGTGTTTGCGTGCTTGTGCCCACAGTAATGTACATATTATATATATATATATGTAGCGGTCAAGGGTCACCAGGATCACGTGACCCGCGTCCCAACAGGATTTGGATGTAAGGTTTCACCTACGTCACGCGACGTGAATCCCTGTATCTTGTTTGATGATTACGTGGCATAACCACGTGACTACGTCACGCGACGTGAATCCCTGTATCTTGTTTGATGATTACGTGGCATAACCACGTGACAACTATTAGTATATAAGCTGATGTTTCTCGCAGTAGAGGTGGGCACTGGTATTTCTCTCCAGGTGCTCCGAGATACACAACGCGAGGACCAGCGAGTGGTAAGGTAAACGATCACTCTTTTTCACTCCTGGACTCACCCTCTGCCCGGTGCTTACTGACGGCTTGACCGTTTCTGCACGCAGGCATGCTGAGTCTTCGAGTCGCATTGCTTGTTACTGTGTGACTACTGTTTCTGTTTCCGGGCATTCTGCCCAAGATTGTGTAGTATTTATGGCCACCGGCCTGTTGGTCGGCGGGCCAATAAAAGCACCGGCGTTCCCGGTTTGAACACTTAACTTGCTGTTGTCTTTCGGTAAATTCTCGGTCTGCGTGTGAATCTAGCGATCGAACCGCTGTATGGCGCACAGAGGGCCGTGACTGGCTCAAAAGTTACAGTGTGCCGTGACCAGGAATTTCACTACAAAGAGCGAGCAGGAAGACAGCCCATGTGCTGGTGGATTCCAGACAGCAGTAACTGTACTTCCGGCAGGGTCGTGTTGGCTTGTGCTCTAAGCAAATGCCACTCGTTACCAGGTCCGGGCCAGTAGGCAGGCGTGCGGCTGGTGCCACGCGGCGGCACCCGGCTGTGGTTGCAGGGGCTGTGAGGACCCCTAGTGTTGCAGTGGCTGAGCGTACGTCCGCTGCCACTGCACCGAAACGTCCTGCAGGGAAGCGTATGGCGTGTGGTCCACGTCATTTCGATTTTCCGGAGTGAGCACGGGGCGTGGTGTCAGGCCGGGCATCAAGAGCGAATTGGCCGGTTGCTGGAAAAGGAAGGGCGTTACCCTTTCCTTAGCCTCGGCTGGTTACGGACAGTAACCCCGAGAGCAGGCACGTAAGGCAATTCTCATCCACACAAGTTGCACTCCACGGACGAGTCGGTCAGGTAGCCTTGTGTGTCAATCCTAGGGACACTGTAAGACGGTTATTGCGACGTAATGCTTTCCGCACATGAGACCGATTGAACACAGGCACGGGTGAAGATCACACCTCTCCGTCGGTATACGACGCCGGTATATCGGGTAATGGTGGGCCTGACGCAGTCCGACAGGTACGAAGGTTGTTCCGTAAGGGGATTCAGACAAAGTGCTACCTTACCTTTGTCCGAGTTAAAGCAGTGGCGCCCCTTCCGTGTGAGTAAGCGCTCTTGGATAGAGACGTCTGAAACCCGGACACCCCCATTGCCAGCGTATTGGTTTGTTCGTGGCAAGGGTGAGAGTGATCACTAATCTCCCACGTGGCAATTAGCGCGTGGTAGTGATTCATTGCATCAACAGTGAACGGTGGTAACGTGAAACACACGATCCGAGACCACGTGGCACCTCCATGCATAGGTAATCGGAGCAGGCATATTCTTAAGGGGGTTCAGGCTAGGCTCGCGGGAGTGTTTCTCCGGAGCTATGGCCGCCCCGTTAAAAGAAATGCCCCAGCGTGAAATTGAATGCTACCGTTGTGGCTTCTATGTCTAAACGATGTGGCTTGGCAAGGATTGGAAAGGTGATTCACCTGCTGAGTGCTCTCGTCGGAAGTGGAGAGATGAGTCGCGTCGCTTCATTCTCCCAACCCATATAAGCTTGGCCGGTGCTCACCCGCGACCAAGTATGGCAGACTCAGAAAATCTCCTCGATTCAGTGCTGCAGCTAGACGTTCGATGCATGGAAACAGAGCCATGGGTAGGCTCACCGGTGTCTACCGGGCTGGAAATAGAACTCTCGGAGCCCAGGGCAGGTCCTGCATTCTCTGCCACCGCCGTGGGAGGGACTGCTTCCTTCATCGGAGTCTTCCCGGAGCAGGGGCCCCTCGCGGGGTCATCCTAGTATCATACGACGTGCGATGCCGTCTCCGTCGGCCAGCGCTAGAGGGTTGTGCCCAGGCCGAGCTTTGTTCAGCGGGGTGCCAGTCAACGCCTCACTGGTACCAACGGCCTGCTGGTCATGGTACGGAGCGTGCTTGCTGCCGACATAGAGCCACGAAGGAGAGTTCCACTGCCGAACCGGGAACACTCATGCTTGTCCGGTAAAGGACTGCCGATTCCGGACGTCGGTGGGCCTCGTCTACAGGATGATCCAGCACCTGAGCCGGGTCCACCAGGTGCGGAGGAAGCACCCATCTGCGGTGCCTAGCGCCTGGGCGACGACGGCGGACCCTCCTACGGCCCACAGGCATGCGTGTGCGGGATATCTGCTGCCGTTGAAGGGAGTTACAATTCCGGACCCAGACCATTTCTGGGGGCAAGCGAAGGTGGCACGCGTGGCAGCAGCGGAGGGCTCCGCTGCGGAGGGATCCGCTAAGGAGGGGCGTGGCAGGAAGCGACGAGTCTCACCCCTGGGATCTGCGGCGAGCAGGAACCGGTGCTCGAGCAGAGACTGCTTTGCCGCCGAGGCGGACATATGCACATGGAAGTTGCCACCGCGTCTCATAGAGCAGCAGCCTCGGCCTCGCATTGGGCTGATGATGCAGATGTCGGCTGCAGAGCTCCGTGTCGCGGAGAGCATGATGGAGGCTCGGCTGCTGGATGATACGCACGACCTAATCGCACTACGCGCTACTATACGGGAGAGAGCGTGTACGGAAACTAAGTAGATAGGCGTGATAATGTAATAAAACATTTATTGAGACGTAAAAACAGAATATGGTATCTTTTGATTTTTTATATATTATGCATGTCTGTAGTATGTCGGTTGCTCCGATATAAAGCGGCATGATATGCACTATGTGATGTAAATAATGTATATAATTCAGAAGCGTTATACATAGTGTGGGGGCACATTGGCAGGAAAAAATGTAAACATTACAAACTTTCACATACCGGAGCTTGCTGATGTAGTTGATGATTGTAGCTGTTTATTCACACTGGCTGCCGCACATGTGTACACTACTGGTCATACTGTACGTCACAGTAATTCGGCCAGTTCACTGTAGGCAAATAGTTAGCCGTGCCCATGTGCATCCATCTCTCATGCTGCGGTTTATTTGACTGGAAGTATGATTAATGGTGAGCGGACAGGCTGCAGGTGGCGCCCTCCATCTAGTAGCGCCCCTATTTTTGCAGCTGTTTTCTTATAAAAATTTCTGGGTCACGCCCCGGCCCAGTGTTGAACACTGGCCGCAGCGCTCACTACCCAAGGACCACGGCCGGGCCGCTATCCATTCGCCCGTGCCGACAGGCGCAATTGCTACTACTTGAAGGTTGGATATATGCGCTAGCATTGTGTCTCCATAGTGAGTTTCACGTGGTTAGGACAGGTAAAAAGTTTCCTGCCCCACCGGGGTTTGAACCCGTAATCTTTTCAGCACGGGTTCTCCGGTCTACCGAGGTGGCCACGGAGGACGTGTATAAACTTTATATATTTTTTATATAGTGTAGTAGTTATTTGGAGATGTAAAACGGATGAGCTATGCTGCGTCATGGGTTCATTTCGCGCTGCTCCTACACGTGTATTGTGCCGGTGCAATTGATATAAATGAATGTAATAAATTAAAATGAATAATGTAAAAGTAAATTTTAGTTTGCCTCATGCTATGGTGTTTTGTTGTTACCAGTTGCGTCTAGTTTTACGTAGATGCATTGTTGTAGGTTTCTGTCACGCAGGCTGGGGTTGCGTTCGGTGTTGTTTGCGACGGGTGAGTCCCCGCCCGTTGTTGCAAGCCGTCCAGGCCTCACTGCGATGCGTTTTCAGTATTGTTCTTTTTGTATTTGAATTGTATAAAGTCACGCGGGTTTTTTTAGCATATTATTGGGCAGACCGCTTTTGTTGTGAACCCTCGTACGAGCCTTGCCGAGGCGGCAAGACTCGGAAAAAGGAAGGGGGTAATGTAGCGGTCAAGTGTCACCAGAATCACGAGACCCACGTCCCAACGGGATTTGGATGTAAGGTTTCACCTACGTCACGCGGCGTGAATCCCTGTATCTTCTTTGATGATTACGTGGCATAACCACGTGACAACTATTAGTATATAAGCTGCTGTTTCTCGCAGTAGAGGTGGGCACTGGTGTTTCTCTCCAGGTG